CCTCAGGCCACTGAAACCCATAACACACATCAGGGGTCACAGCTACAGGTGACATTCTTCAGTTCACAGGCACACTGGCGTTGTCACACTATGGATGGACAGCCACACACACAGCCAAGTTAATTCTGAAGGCACAGTGTAGCTCTGACAGGTACTGCTATGACAACCATGTAGCAGAACAGCCTACGTTTCCCAGCAAGTTCCAAAAATAAACATGCACCATTCATGCTAGCAACAGCAAAAAGGTACATGTTTACCAGACATCCCCCCCCCATCTGTCTTCCTCCTCTTTCCAAGACTTCTGTTGCTGTTGTTGTTGTCTTTCAGATGGAAAAATCATGAAAATTCTCGCCCTGGTTTTCAGGAGGCATCACCTTCCCCTGCTGGGCAGGGCGGTGTGGAGCAGGGCAGGGCACAGCCTCCATGCTGCATCGCCAGTGCCAGATGAGTCTGCTCTGCAAGGCAAAAGGAAGCTCACTCTCACTGAGAAGCATCTCATCCCCTCCTCTCTGACTTCAAAAGAGAAAACAACCACGGATTTTATGTAAATATGGACATTAGACACGAAAAAATAGAACAGAAAACAGCAAATTCATTTTTCATAGGCAATCCAGCTTCCACTGGAACAGCTGCAGATGAAAGTACCAGCTACAAATTAATATATCATAAGGTCTACCAGAGGAACCGAGCGTCTCAAATGCCAAAGTAAGAGCAGAGCTTACTTCCATCTACAAAACCGTAAAGAGGAGCTGTTTACATGCTCTGAGTTACCTGCTGAAGAGGAACCCAAATTTACCTTGTCAGCTTACGACAAAGTTAAAGTAATTCCTAAAACAATTCCAAATCGTTTCTAAACGGCGCTTAGAAGGGAAAAATGTCAACAAAATGAAATCCCTGCTGATAGCCCAACAAATGATTTCTTCAAACTACTACAGAGAAAACTGCCAGAGCGCTTTATCTTTTTGGAGGACATCTCTGGGACCAAGAAGCTGCCTCCAAAGAGAGGAAAAGCTCCCAGCTCTGCAACTGTCAGACAGAGCCATCCAGGTTTCACACAGTGGGACAGAAAAGCCAAGTGGCTGAAGGTCCAAATGCCATTCCTGAGGAGCAGGGATGGTAGGAAGCAGCTATCACAGCTGCTGGAACCACTGCCAATAAAATCACTTCCTTCTAATTTGGGGGTATTCTGCCTTTACCTTGATGGGAAGCACTCTTCCTGAAAGTACAAATCTTGCCATAAATGTGATTCAAAAGGTATCCCAAAATATTAAGTCGATTTATGAACAATTTCCAACAGCAGTACTAAAACAACAAGTAGCACTTTCTCTTGCTCATCCCTATCTTTACACAGTGTGGTAATGAACACATTCAGCAACCAGTTGCTAACAGCCTACCACGGTTTAAAAATCTCCCTGAAATGGAACTTGGAATTGCAAAGTTCCCCAAGTTACAGCCCGGAGTCTGCCAACAAACACAGGCAGAGTCAAGCTCCAGCAGCTCTCTGTACATCATTTAGGCCATTCTCCCCTCCCTAAATCACAACCAGTGTCTTAACAGATGCTCATCACACACTGTTTTTCAACACTTCTGCTGCTGGAGACCTTGCAGCCGCCCCGAGCAATCCGTGCAGCGCTCCCTGCTCCAGTGCCTCCCCAGCCTCAACCTGCATGTTCCTGGTTAGCTGATGACCAGTATTTCTTGGCAATTCAGTGTGGCTTTAAGAAGACAGCCCCCATCTGCTCCACTGCATAATTTCATGTATCTGACAAATATTTATCTACTTCCAGCCCCTCTGTCTTCCCCCTTTCTTAAATGCAACCGAGTGCAGTGGCCATTTCAAGTCAATAGATAGCTTAAGAATTAATATTTAAATACTATTTGGATATTCTTTATAACCAGTCACCACCAAGCACCGGCCTGGTATGGGTAAGGCTGGTGCCAGTACGTACTGGCCTGTCAGGCAGTCTGTCTTGGCTGGAGAACTGCCTCTTGCTCTCCTCTTAGAAGCATTTGTTTCAATCAGAACTTGCTATGCTTTATTATTCACTTCTGCCACCCCGTCTTCAATTCCCCTTTCCATCTCTGTTGCTTGGATATTGTTGTTTACAACTGAACAGCAGCTGATCCAGACCTAAATTTGACAGTAAAAGGAAAAGCTGTGTTATCAGTTTCGATATTCTCTCCTTTTCCTCCCTCTGACACCTTCCTCAGCACAGCACCTGATGAAGCTGTGCTGTGATTTCCACAGACACCGGGTGCCATACTGAAGAACCGCACACTGACAGCACATCAGCACCACTCACACCTCTGACACCAGATTAACAGGCTTTGCTAAGGCAATAAACACTGTTTGAACTTAAATGAGAGAGGCCTGTAAACAGAGCATTAAGCGACAGATCTAAGAACGAAAATTAACAACCATCTCTTTGGATATGAAGACCTGTGTTCGTTCCAGCACAACAGGTGGCAACACAGGACTACCTAAAATGAAGGCTGAGCACAAGGGTAGCCCTGTGCATGGCACAGCATGGGGACAGGCAAAGCAAAGCACTGCACCACAAACACAACAGCAAATGCAGCATGAGAGCAACTGATGCTATCAGGTGCACAAGTACGTATGTACAGCTAAGATGGTTGAACAACTTTGTTTCACACTTTCACATACACATCATGCAGAGGAACCAATGGACTCACAACCATTCTGGGCATAGCTACAAATTAGTTTGCTTAATTTGGCTCATGCCACCAAAATAACGTGCAGAAGTATTTTGCAAGAGTGAAACAAAACTGCCTGCCCCGAGTCCTTCCTACTGAAAGGAGCATTAAAGAGACAAAACCTGTTCTGATTTTTTTTTTCCTAGTTTCCTTCACTAAAAGTTTATAGATGTGAAAATAAACGTATCAGGTGGACAAAAGGTAGTTAACAATGCTGCTTCTTGTTTTCAGAAACCACATTAATTAAAAAAAAAAAAAAAAAAATGAAAAGCACTCAATTCAGAAGCATTTACAAATGAACCGATGTAATGAAAATCAACTTGCAAATTAAGAGATGAACAAACCCTTGGCACTGCTGCAGATATTCATCAACACCAGAAAGACTTGAAAAAAATTTAAAAGCAATAGCAACAAAAGGCTTTACATACTAACGAGATACATAGGGTACTGCAGGCACCCAGGAAGGGGCATGGAGCACACCACTGCCACTCCTGCTGCTTTGGGACATGCAGTTTGGCATGGCAGGAATCACAGAGCTGTAGGGGCTGGAAGGGACTTCCAGAGATCATCGAGTCCAACCCCACTGCAGAGCAGGCCCCCCTACAGCAGGCTGCACAGGTAGGTGCCCAGGTGGGTCTTTGAACACCTCCATAGAAGGAGGCTCCACCACTTCCCTGGGCAGCCTGTTCTAGTGCTTCGTTACCTTACCATGGAGAAGTTCTTATGAACATTTGTGCAGAACTTCTTGTATTCCAGGAACGAAAGGAAGACCAGACAGTACTTTAAGAAGCAGAAAACCAAAGTCCTGACCCTATCTGAGGGCCTCTGCATCCACATCCTTACCATACCAGGATTTCAGATGAGAACTGCCTGATTAGAGTCCCTTTGTGCTCTAAGGAAAAAAAACACAGAGCAGGGAAAAGCTCTTTCTTTGCCTTCACACATACATTTCTAAGACCAAAATTCCACAATTAATGAACAACAAAAAAAAGCAACAGAGGTTAAAACTGCACCCAACTGAACGCTGTGGAGTTACCTGGCAATACTGAGAAGATAATCTGAGGAATGCCCATCTCCATTAGAGCTGGGGATAGAGAGGCTGTGCTGGCTCTCAGTCACAGCATGACATGGCTGGCACTGCGAGCAGCCAAGCACAGACCTGCCTGCTCCTGTTCCACTCTCCTCCAAAACTCAGCGAAGCACAGAGGTGCTCTCCTTATTGAAAGGATGCTGATAACATATGCTGCGAGGCTTTCCAGAGCACCTGCAACAAATCTCTCCAGATAGCTGGGAGTTCTTGAAGCAAAACCACTTTCAAAATTAAAAAAAAAAAAAAAAAGAAGAAGAAAGAAAGAAACCCAATGAGCTTTCGATCTTCCTCACCAACCCATCTGAAAGCCTTCTTCTTTCAGGGCAGCAGGTGCTTTGCAAGCAGCAGCCGCATGGAGCGTGCATCTGCAGCTGATGGATCTGAGAGCTGGCTGCACCTAACTCATATTTATTAGCAGTGGGTTTTATGAGGTGGTTAAGGCAAGTTCAGAAGCCAGGATTAAAGTTATGGTGAGTTTTTATAACGAAAGTAGGAACTGTAGTTGAGGGTTTTATGTAAGTAAACACTGACAACTTTACAGCCATGGTAGCTACCAGTGAGCACAGAAGAGATTTCTCCAGGCAACCAGTAAATAAAATGCTTTTACTCATACTTCCATCATAGTACAAATAAAAGCATTTGACATGTTTAATAAATGTCACAAACACAAAATATTACATCAAAGCGGGCTGAATAATGACAGTGCTGCAATTATTGAGCAAAAAAATGGGGATTAGAAGTATTGGCAGCTTGTTTCTTCATCACCAGGCTTCTGGAACCTGGCTTTAAAACGCCCTTTCAGTTCTGTCTGATTAATACCACCGACAACTTTTGAGCACATAACTCCCCACCAGCATACCATAACCACTGGTTTTTGTGGTCAGACACAAAACATGTCATTGATCTCCAGAGAAATAAATTCGTCACTACACGATACGCATAGATCCCTCCTGCAGCCTGTTCCAAATTACAGCTCTCTGGATGATGCCACCCATCATTTGCTGTGTCCCAGAACGGATCTCTCAAACACTGTACTGAAAACTCCAAAGCCCATTTTTAAACAATTGTTTGCATCACAGAAGAAGAAAAACCCCTAGCTGCCGCATTGTGTTTTACTGTTTCCAAGCAACACTGTTGTTTCAGATCAAACATGAAACAGCCATCTCGGAGCTGCAGTGCTTTCCTCTGTACTTACTTATTCTGCATCATGTTCATTATAACCCAGTCGAAGGGATAGACGTTCTTCCCAATGAGATTCTTGAACATGATGAATGTTTCCATTAGAAAATCCTAAAAGAAGAAAAAAATATTTGGAAAAGACTGCTCTTACAGATGAAAAACCACAAGCGATGGTGTCAGTTATCGATGACTAGATTCAAAAGGCACTTGATTGCCCTGCTTCATAAGTAAGCAATTATTCATAGAAAACATACATAAATGCTACCGAGTCATATTTACATATGATGTACATAAGTGCTACAGTGATTCTATTTAAGCCTTTCAGGAGCTGTATCAGGAGCAAGCCTACAGCACAAACAACTCACTGCACTGCTGAGGAAGGAGCTCTGGATTGCCAGCTACGAAAAGGAAGCTGCTTTAGAACAAAATGTTCTCTTTCCTATACCAGAGGACCATGGAGCAATGCCCTTTGTGTGCACTGTACCACAGCACAGCAACATGTGGGACCTTTGCAGAGGTAAAAATCAGCAGAGAGCATACTGAGTTTTCCTTTTATTTGAATACATCCCCCTCAAATTTTCCCTTGCCCCAAAAGCAAGACAAAGTTAAAAAGAAATAAAAAAACCAAACCAAAACAAGCTAAGTAATAATAATTAATAATAATTGGATTCAGGTTTCTGCTGTGGTACACATTAGCCATGACCTCAGGAAACAACGGCTCTTTTTTGGCTACCATGAGACTCCAAAAGACTTCCTCCCTGAAGGGAGCAGCAGTAATCGCTTCTGCCAGCGAAAACCTGACCCAGAACAAAGTTAATTTAGTAGCACAAACCAATTTATTTCTACACAGATATAAACAAACATCTTTTTGGAACAGAAACCTGATGCACTTTGCAATGTAAATCATCTACAATTTGGGAATCTATAATTGCTGTCTAACAATTTAAGTAATATCAAATGCTCAGAGAAAGACAGAGAGAGGAGAAAAAAGACAACTTAATGCAAAAAGTCCTTGATCCACTTCCCATAGAGATCAAAGTGAACTTTCACTCTTGACCAAGGTTAGAATACTTCACTACAGCTCTTCTGTATCTGCACGTATATTGGCTATCTTTAAAATGTCAAATGTCTACCAAAAAAAAGAAGTTAGATTTTCCAGACTTCAGACTAAGGCTGTTGTTTATGTAACCTTTCCAGTGAGAAACAAATAGAAAGTTATTGCACTCCCAAGTATTTCTTCATGAGTGAGAGCCAACAGCTCGGCCAGATTTTATCTTTGGATTCGATGTTCTTTTCACAATACTTCCCTGGCTCAGAAATTCATTACTGGTTCAAAGCAGGGAGCTGCAGAGATCCTGAGGACACAGCACTGAGAGAAGTGATGTGAACTTGCAGCCTGGCACCAAGGGTCTCCTGGGGCTGCCCAAGCATCCCCACTCCTCAGGCAAAGAGGGCCAACAGAGCATCTGCTGCCACTGGGCATGTCCTCACCCCCAGATCTATGGCATTTGTAAAGTAACACCTGTGCTCTTTCCCTAAAAATTACTCCCAACAAAACAACATAAAAAAAAAAAAAAAGACATTTTGACATTAGTAGTACTGAGATAAAAGTTAGAACTGCTTGTGGTTAATGAGATGTTACTGTTGCATAAAGCAGAACTCATCCCAGATGCACACTCCACCAGCTGGGTAAAACGTGTCTTCCTTTCAGGGCTCAAACTGCGTACTCCTCTGCCCATCTTTCATGCACTTTGGTGAGTTATGTAATTTCTAATAATCACACTGCTTATTTTGCTGCCCAAGCACTGCACACCACTTGTTTCACCGGAGCGCATGCTTTTTTCCTGCTGCACGTATCGAGCGACTTCCTTACTGATGCTCCTTCACAGCTCAGTAACTGAAAATTCCAGTGGAAGTGGCACCATGGGAAGGGTCATCGTCTACCCAAGAGAACAGATTTGAGCTCACAGTGCTTTTTTTCCTCCCTTAATATGAATACAGCTGTATACTTTCTTTCATCCGTCACTGGTTTCAGCTGTTGAACCTCGGCGTACTTTGCTGATCAAGCTGCACGTGAATGAATTTTCGTACACTTTGTTGATGATTCACATTCATTAGTGACTCTGAAGGTTGTGCCACACAGGAGCTGCACTGGTTTGCTAATTCAGCTCTAAGTTCTCATCTACTGATATTTACATTTTAATAGCCCTAGTTTCACAAAGGTACTTTAAAAAACGCACCATAGCAACTGATGTAGTTATTGATCAACTAAAAGCGTGGAATGCTCACCAGCATGTGTTTACAATATTATTGTGTTTTAAATTTTGTTTTTCCTATAGAAAAGCAAATGGTTTGCAGGGGCTCATACGGAGCAAAGTGTGGCTTTTTCATGGGGAATGGAAACGGCGGGGGGAGCTATCTGTTCATGCTGTGCTGCTGAGGAACCTGTTTATTTTCAGTACACCTACAACCAGAACAAATTACTCTGAACATCTGAAAAATGATTCTCAAAATGTTCTGAAGGAACACTTCTGATCTCTCCGCAACCACAGCTAAAGATTATGTTTACTGTCCCAAGGAAGCATAACTCACAACAGAGGGGACCCCATGGCCATCCACATCCAATTACAGGGAGAAACCAAAGCAAGCTCAGCGTTGGAGCTGAGCAGGCTGTGAGAGGCTCCTCCACACTGCTAAGACTCCCACTCCAATACACCTGTATCACTAATCACATTTTTCATAACTTTGAGTAAGAGTTCAAGATTTTATGAATAAAAATAGCTAGCTAGCTAAAATACATAGGAACGTGAAATGCAAGGGAGGAAAAGCAATTAAAAAATAAGCATTTCTTGCACCTCTTTAGGCCAAGCTGATGAAAATTTCAGCTTTATTCAGTTCCGAATTATACTCCTAAATCAAATATGCTCAGCTACAGCTTTTCATTGCAACAACTGAACCTCCACTGAGCCCTGAAGCTGAGGCTGCCTTGTGAAGCCCAGCATCCAGCACTGCAGAGAGCTCTGGCTCTGCAGGGCATCCATCCCCCTACAGCCCACTGGCACACACACCATGCAAAGGCTGCTTAAGCTGCACAGTCACAAGACTAAGCTTCACAGAATCAGAGAATCATAGGATGGCTTGGGTTGGAAGGGACCTCAAGGACCCTAAGGACCCCCCTGCCACATGCAGGGCCACCAACCTCCACATCTAACACCAGCCCAGGCTGCCCAGGGCCCCATCCAACCTGGCCTTGAACACCTCCAGGGATGGACGGGGCATCCACAGCCTCTCTGGGCAGCTGTTCCAGCACCTCACCACTTGTCACAGAAGGATGGATGGTACTCACTCATTCACATTCTCACATTAAATTGAAAGCCCTAGGAGTGCAAGATTTTAAGGGGAGAGAAAGACGGAGGTACATAAAATGGCGGCCATAAACATTATAAGCAATTTGATATATTCATAAAGAATCACAGAATCATCAAGGTTGGAAAAGACCTCTAAGATCACCCAGTCCAATCACCCACCTATCACCAGCATTTCCCACTAAACCATGTCCCTCGGTACCATCTAAACGTTTCAGGACACTGTCTTGAATGCCTTCAGGAGGAACACTTCTAAGATATTTCACACAGCCAAGCATCAGCACATATTTTCTTTGTTAACTAACAATCAAATGAACCTCAGGAACTGAATATCAGGTTTACCAAGTAAAAAAGAAGATAAATCAGCTAACTCCAGAAGTAACCCTGGTGATCTTGTATGAGGTTTCATCTCAGGATGATAGTAGGTTTGACAATAACAAACTCCTTTTAGAAAGAGATACCTTAATCTGAACAGTTTCTAAAATTGAACTAAACAATATATTCTGCTGGGAGAGATAAGACTTAGTTTTGTAACATTCCACTTCATCCTTCCAACATTTTAAGGTCAAGAAAGACCATTATAATATCTAACACAGGTCATAAAGCTTCATCTAGCAGTTCCAGAACCAAGCTTGTAACTTCTAGCTGAGACAGAGCACATGTTGAAGACAGGGTGATGAAGCAAACACAGCCTACCTTACATTCTTCATTTAATTATAACTTATTATTATATGTAAAAGGACTTGGGATTCAAACAAAATCACTTTGGATCTAAAGAGCAAGACAAACAGGAGGCAGTGCTCCTGGGAGAGCTAGTACATACTATTCTGAACTGGGGTTCCAATTAACACTGAAGTCTCACAGATGAAGAAATACCTATGAGAACAGTAACTTCCTATTTGCTCCACACTGAAAGGTTACCTTTTTCTTTGAACAGAGAAATTGGGTTGTATCTTCATGCTTTTGTCCCAAATGATGACTGAGTCACGTTTTTTATGGATTAAAAACAAAATAAAAGGAAACCTCAGTGAATAAATTACTATCACTGCATTCACTACGTACTGCCATAACAACACTGCTCCACACTTTTATTCCTATTACTTATAAAGTCAATTTACAACACTATTACTTACCACAAACACACTAATGATTCAGTGGTTTCTCAGCTTACTACATACCTTAGTTTCCACTAACATACATATCAATCAATCAACGATGGTATTTACACATTTAATGGGCATATTTTAAGTAAAGATACAAGAAGTATTACAGCAACGAAGCTTGGATCTGCTCCTACGAGCTAGTCAGATGGCACAGCAATGGAAAACAAGCAGCCAAATAGTGCACGTCTGATAGAAGCTACGGCAGGGGAGATTCAGGCTGGACATGAGGAAGTATTACTTTTCAGAAAGGGTGGTCAGGCACTGCAATGGATTCCCAGAGAGGTGGTGGAGTCACCGACCCTGGGGGTGTTCAAGGAAAGGCTGGATGTTGTGTTGAGGGACGTGGTTTAGTGGGAGCTATTGGGAATAGGTGAACGGTTGGACTGGGTGATCTTTTAGGTCTTTTCCAACCTTGGTGATTCTATGATTCTATGAAAATAAAATATAACCCCAGCTACAAAACCCAAGAAGATGCAGAACAGCATGAATATACAGATAGTCAGGATAAAAGAATAGAAGACACTAAAAAGTGACTTTTAAATAGAGTAAAAGAGTAGAGTAAACCACAGATTCTCTAAACAATTTTCTCTCTTCATTTGGTCATTAAGAGCTGCAAGAGCAAATTGCTTTTACCTTTTTCCAGATAAAACTCTGTAATCAGTTTGTCTTTTCCAGAGCTACGTGCTTTGAACTAGTTTAAAGCTATAAAAACATTTGCTGTGGTTAACCAGGAGTGTTCTGCCCTTTTTTAGCCTCTCGTACAGGCTAAAACCACTATTTACCCGAGCCAGCTGCATCTAATCTCACTATTACTGGAAAACCAAGTGGGGAAAAAACACCTTATCAAAGGAAGAGCAACCATGATGTCCTTCTGCAGATCTTTGCATTGGACTCTGTCTTCACTGTTCTCAATCAACAGCATCATATTTCACTCTTCCAGATCAGGTGCAAATATGTTGAGTAACAGAGGCTCTGGCATCATAGCTGAAAAACTGGCGCAGGGCAAAGAGCTCAAACCTCTCAGAACAGAAGCAGAAATAAAGAGAACAAAACCTAAGACAGTAGTTTTTGTTCCACTGGGTACAGAAGGAAGAAGAAAATGTAAATAAAGGTCCCTGCAAAGATTAAAGCACAGATGAAAGCTGCCTAAAATGCCTGACAGAATCCCTAACAGCAGAGTGGGCCACGTAACACTGCTGATCAGACTTCAGGTCATCTGCTAATTGATGGATCTCAGCCAACAAGTTTGGTAGCTACTTTGCAGCGTGCACTTGCCATATGGCAATGATAGTTTCAGGTCATTAGAGAGTTTTCTCCTTAGCTATAAGCTCTCTTCTATTATGCTCTAATTAAGTTGTGCTGTAGGATTAGCTAGGCTACCAAATGGCTCCGAGAAGACGAATTTCAATTATTATTGCTTATTTAACAACTAAGGGCACCTTTAAGGTTAAAATGCTTTGTATAAATTTTAAAGCTAGCAGGTCTGCAAGTAAAAGCTATTTAAACAAATGAACAAAATTGGGACATCTGGGAGATTTAATGATGGAAGTTCCCTTCCTCATGCTTTTTTTTCCTTCCCTCTCCTTAAACAAAACAGATTTTTAGTAATGACTTGGAATTACTATTTCCTAATACTTTCTTTTAATTACTTTAAATCCAAGTCCCAGAGCTTGCTTTGAAAGTACTGAACAGCTCCACAGATGAGCTGCATTCCTGCATGTGGCAGGAAGGTTAATTTGGTCCTTTGCAAATTCCAAAAACATCACACTGCTTTATTTATTATTTTATATCACATTTGTAACTCGAAGCATTTTGTCTCATTTCATAACTGCATTTAAAAAAACAACAACAGTAACAGGAAAAAAAAAAAAAGCTACAACAAAAACAAACTAACTGTGGCTAGATGAAGGACGTTACACTTACCACAACATCCGACCTCATCTTGCCAAAAGTCTTGATTAAATGAGCGTAGTGATAGTCCTCCATTTGCCTTAAAATGGCAGTCATGCAGGCAACAAAACTTCCCTAGGGAAACGAAAATATAAGCAGTTATTGCAAACAGGGCAATACACTACTTGCCATCGGAACACAGCACTGGTAGCCCTCCATAATGCAGCTGATAGAATTGCATCATTTAAATTCATGACTGGATATGCAAAAACCTGGCAAGAAAACCAACAAAACCCTTGAAATATTTCTCTGTCCAGTTTCATGGCTTTATTACCATCTCCACTGAAGATTTTGCAACATATTCTTCTTATAAAAACTGCTCAGGCATTAAAGGCTTTGGAAGGTAATAACTACTGCCAAAAATATCACACGATATCAGTATTTGCATTTGAGAAGTCAATACTATGCTCAAGGAAGAAATCTCTCAAAATCATTATATTGAGAATCACAGCCTAACCCCAAGTTTTAATTTATTGAGTGGCATTCTGAGATGGGATGCTTAACAGAAAGAATCCTAAACCCACTAACTTCCAGAGAAATGGGACAGCAATGCCAAACCTCTCTCTCTCAAGTCATGGAAAACGTAAGAAGTGAAGAGGAAAGTTTAATCTTTTTTCCCTGGCTCATAAAAACATCATATCAGGACTCAAAAGTATATTTTTGTAATGAAAAACCACTTCTCTTGCTACTGGAAACCCCAACCCCATAAGTGACATTTCTGCTGGTTCACACTCCTCCTGCAGCTATCTGCTAAAAACATGTTGACTGGTTATGGCAATAACAGCCACGCTTTTTCTGATCTTTAATGAAGAAAAACATCATTGGAAAAAAAAATAAATAAAAAAAAAATCAAGAGAACTGTTCAGAAAATAAATAATGGCCTATACGGTTCGCTGGAACTGTAAATTCACCTTTCTGTGCCCTCTTCAAGGTCATCCTACGTCGTGCACAGCAGGACAGAACACGCAGTACATTTTGATTCCTTCTAAGCACAGCACGGACTTTTTGTTGTTTATTTTTAAGATCTTTATTATTCTCAATTTAGAGTATTTATTGCTACAGCAGCCCAAGTAATTGAGATCAAATACAAAATGACATTAGGTTACCTGTGTGCATTATAAGCCCTCTTATTTACTCTCCAATGCCCCGAACTCCACCAGATAAGCACTCCTTCAATATGCTTTCCTCCTGTGTCCTCCAGTTTATGGCTCAACTCCTACATAACTGATTTTGCCCATGTGAGAACATTATTTTTCTACACTATGTAACCATCTCTGATGAGAGTTCTTTAGGCACATGCAAACGGATAAATGTGAAAGGGCCAGCAGAGTTGTTGTTCTATGACATCAAAAGAACTTTATGCAACGCTACAGCAGGAATAGAAGCAGTGGATGTATAAAAGATAATGTTTACTACTATGAAATGTAAGTCAGACTGGATCACCTCAAAAGAAAACCATTAACTGATAAGGTGCCATATAACCAGCACAGTACGTAACAGGCACTGTGAAAGAGCTTATGCTGCAAGGAGATGTTCAACTGCCAACATTAAGGCCTCCTTCCTTAATAAGGTCATCAGTCAAAGTGAGGTTCCACTGAATCTTATCTGTTTTTAAATTGACTTCTGAAGCCTTCAGCCCAGCTGTAACTCAGCCCATGGCTCCCCACCAGGTCCTGGAGACGGTCCCTAAGCGCTCAGCAGAACTCAAGGCAGCCTTGGTTTTGCTCCCTGTACCTTTGTATGGATGCTCATTCATCCAGTGAATCTGTGAAGTCCATTGCTTGGCAAAGACATAAATGTTCACTTCTTCCCCATGAAAACATCATCCACGCATTCACAAGCACAATTCTTTTCATGTAAACCACCAGCAAACATCCAACCTCTGCTTTTTTGTACTTTCCATGGCCTTCCAACACCTTTGATCATACTTTTGTGTTTCTCTACCCTTTTGATGTATAATGTAATATACGCATCTGTAACAGCCAAAAAGACCAATTTTGTACCCAAGAAAATTACCATGGTAGCCCTGCATAAGGATAAAATGGAAGTAGAGCAACCATAGAACTTCCATCCACATTTTAACATCCATTTTCAGACACAGCAGCAGCCAAAGACAGCTTTAACCATCATTCCTGAATGGTGAGAACTGCAAGGGACACCTGAAAGTTTGATGTGTGGTCAGTCAACACCCTGCATCTACTGTGAGTGTGAAAATGGAAACAGGAGAGCGTGCTGATCACCTGGAATGCTTGCAGCAGAAAGAATAAACACAGAATAACAAACAAGGTTGGCATTACAAATGAAACAAGAAGATGAGGGAATTCTGTAACACATTAAAATGATGATTAAAAAAAAATAACAATGCAAATACAAAAAAATCAACTACAGAAACTTGTTCAACATTTTCATGTCAGAAGTGATTCCTATCAGAACACCTCGAGGTCCTCAGCAATTTAATCGTTATTTCTGATTTCCAACAACGTAGCTTTCTCCTCTTCTTAGTACCACCCTGCTAACACAAAACTCTCCTTCTTTAGCATGGAACTGTTCCCTTCTCTGGAGCACAGCTCTTACAAATAACAGCTGAGGGAACTGGGATTGCTTAGTGTGGAGACGAGGCTCAGGGTTGACCTTCTCACTCTCTACAACTGCCTGAAAGGAAGTTTTGGCAACGTAGGTTTGGCCTCTTCTCCCATTAACTGGCAAGAGGATGAGAAGGAATGGCCTCATGTTGCACCAAGGAGGGGTCAGGATGGGTATTATGAAGAAAATATTCTCTGGAAGAATGGCGAGGCGCTGGAATGGGTGCCCAGGGAGTGCTGGAGTCACCGACCCTAGAGGTGTTCAAGAACATGTAGGTGTTGAACATGGTTTAGTGGGAAATATTGGTGGCAGGTGGACAGTTGCACTGGATGGTCTTGGAGATCTTTTCTAACCTTGGTGATCCTATGACTCACATGCACTGCCCACTCACACAACACTTCTCTCTTGGATCCTACCTGCTAAAATGGGACAAATGCCTTGCTGGTTAGGAAAACATGCTTATTATCAGAAAAGTATACGACTCGCATCGCTTTGAGGTATCACGTGCAGCCAGCACGCTCTTAATTACAACACTAATAAAAATTTGCAATTATTGTATAATTTTTTATTTATTATTTCTGTTGTAGGTGTTTTTTTAATGCTGCCTATTAGCTATTCAGCAACAGCTAACAACGTTTTAAATTTTAATCTTCAGTTGATTTTCAATTTTCGCGTGGATCCAAAGACTGTTGCCATCTTCTGCTGCACAGCACTCCAAGCAATGCAAAGACAGAAACCCGAAAAACTAATTCCCCCCCCAAAAAATCAATTTCAATTTTAACTTTAGGAGTAATTGCAAACCTACATTAATACAGCAAGTACTGCAAGGGCAACACAGGGCTTGCCATCGCCCCGCGTGATTATTAGCTATTTATTCACTGAAACAGTGTGAAAGCTCAGACTGAAGGCCCTTTCACATCCTTCCTTAGTTTGTTAGATACATGAATTACCCAGGAAGAACAGAAAAAGGGAAAAATAGACCAAAGACGCCAATTCTTCTTCAGAAAGAATGCATTATTATTCAGACAACGAAGTGTACGTAAGATGATGTCATTCCTAAACATAAACTTACTTCTAATTCCAGAAAATACATTCTAAATGGAAATTTGGAGATGCTCACAGATACTCAAGAAGTAGTTATTTTCTTATATTATTTTTACAATAAAGTACCAAATGTTCAAACGGCTCTTTGATATCTGTAGAAAGGGAAATTTTAATATAAAATAATCCTCCCAAGCAATAACAACACTGAAAAAATTCAGATACTCCCTGCAGTAACACAGCACATGCAATGCTGTTTTTCTGCAGGGGTAAATCATCTCATTTTAAATAGCCTGGTCCCTGGACAAGAAAGCTCAGGTCCCAAACTCTCCAAATCTACCATCCAACACAGTGACAGCAAGAAGAACTGAGCCCCCAGGCACCTGCCCTGAGTGGATGCTGAGGCTCTGATCCTACTTTAAAATCAATTCTGGATGAACGAAATCATCCCAATTACTGCTCCATTTAAAGGAAAGGAAAAATCCATGCATACTGGAGAAGAATGGAGGAAAAAAACAACAATCTCTGAATGCAGAGAAACCTCTTTGCCAAGGGAAGCAAAAAGGACCGTCGTACAGATCGAAACCCAAACACGAGATCACGTTAGCTTGGCTGGAATTTATTTTGCAAAAGGATTATTTATTAGAACCTTGGTGACACACACAATGAGAATATATACAAAACATTCTCTCGTCTGAAAGTGCTTTGTGCTAACTTTTGTAGGAGGCAAGCAAAAAAATTAATGAGATATTTTAGCAGCACCATTTATCATTTTTCTAAGGCCCTTTTTCAAAGAAGTCCATTTCAGCCCCAAAACGTTTCATTTTAAAAAACTCTAAAGACTCTCAGTGTTAAATAGTTTGCCCTTCAATTGAAATCACAGTGCTTAAGATTTCTGAAGGTCAGCCCACTTATTTTTGGTTTTCTAACTGCAATTGCCTTTCCCCACGCTACATTACAAATGATTTCACTGAAAATCTACAGAACTGCCCACAGATCCATTTGAGGTGTCTTATCTTACGCTTTTATTAACGCTAGTGAAAATACATAGAAGAACAGTATTTATGGGCAAGGTTAATATTCAAGAAGCAAAAAAAAAAAAAAAAAAAAAAAAGGAAAAAACAGACAAAAAAATCAATTTTTATGGAATTCTGCAGACACAGCATTTAGCACAGTCTATAAAATCTAAACAGAACCATCATAGGATTTAGAATTACTTATTTTTTAATGTAGCCAATGCTGTTGCACAACGCCTTCCATCCCACTTGGGTGGAAGCAGGTCGGAGCTGCAAAGCAAAACAGGTCTGATCCATCTGTGCATCCCCCTCTATTTTAGGAACTGCTTCCATAAAGGAGCAACCTCTGAGGAAGGCCTCAGAGATGCAATGGACACCTTCCTCACAGCAGGGAAAGCCTTCCCTCTTGTTTATTTTAGATTTCTCAATGCAAGA